ATTTTTCAGTATACTTGAGAATATGTAATAAATGTCCACAGTTAGCAGTCATTTAAATATGGTAATCTTTAAGCATGATTTTTGCTTCAGTAATGTGTTTGTGGTAATGAGAACAGTCAGTGATGCTGAGCGATGTGCACATAGATTAATGACAGTGCCAAAACAAATTCGACTTAAAATCATGAAAAAGAGAAAAACAAACCTTTATGCAGTCACGTTCTGCTGAGAGACTAATTAAACATAACCAATTTAATTAAAACAGTGTTTATAATCAATATGACATTATATTTGATATAATTCTAAGCTCTGCAATGGAGTGATTACGATGAATAATTTCATTATGAATGGCCTTGGTATAAATCACCAGCAGAAATATTAGGCTAAAAAAGACATCATAATGTAATTAGTGAAAACTCTTGAGGGGATCCATATTTCATGACAGAAAATGACAACCATAGTGAAATGTCAAAGAGTAAAAATTACCTGGAGAATTTACATAAATCCTAAACATATATTACTAAGACGTTTGTCCAAATAATCATTTGCATTAGCTGCAAACAGAGAATAATGATGCTGAAATGCTGGACAGCAGTGATTCAAATACTCCCAGCTTACACAGAGTTCATTACATTTCGCTGATAAAGCTCCGTTTGGCTCCAGCTCCTCAGTATATGCACAGAGCTGTGCAGAGGTTACACACAGCCATTCTCTTTGTGATAAAAAGAAAGCATCTGTTTCTGTGCTTCTGCAGAAACCTACTGATGGATGGCCTCCTAGATGTCAGCAGTCTATTTCAGCAATCTTGAAACACAGCATCCCTGTTTCAGATTTCTGAACTAGATGGTGGAAAAGGCAAGTTTTGTAAATTTTATTTCTAAGCAGACCACAGCTTTTTGGAGACAACAGAGACTCTGATGTCGACTTCATTTGGTCTTTACACATAACCAAAGGAGTTTGCTGTGGATGGGATGACATCTACTGTGAGAACCCTCAGGGGAAGTGGCCTGCAGAATTAATTACTAGAGTCTTCTGAACTGTGACCAGCCAGCTGAGGAGGAAAAAGGGGTTGGCTTTCCAAAACATTTCAGCCTTCTTCAATTGGGTACATGCAATATATTGTATTGGAGTCTACATACATAAACCAACTTTTTATTTTTTTAACTGGGCCACATTCAGCGTCGGTTCATGTTATTTTGAGCACAATAACTTTAACCAAAAGTAATTGGGATTTAACTGATATGTTAAATTATATAAACCAGTACACATCCATGCTACAATACTGTTTGGCCTGTTTGCGCTGTTGGCAAAAGTGAAATAAACAAATGAATAAATAAATAAATATCAATGATAAAAAAAAACAGGGTTGGTAGATTTTGCTTACATGCTAAAAATGGGTCATTTTAACCTGTTGCTAAGTGGTTGCTAGGCATGTATAATTCAGTTTTTTTTTGAAAATTAAATTAGTTGTTACTATCATGAAATAAAAATGACATAATGCTTTTATAAGGTCTCATAGGTACAAAAAGGAACGAAAAAAGACTTATTTTGGCGCATTGCTGGTTGCAATGCATGATTAATTACATTTTTGTGGATATACATGAGATGTTATTGTTGTAACTAAAATGATGTGGTCCTTTTATAATGTGTTACAGGTGCATAAAGCCAAAAAAAGGTCACTTTAGTCTGGTTGCCGGGCAATCTGAGGCTGTCATAATATATCATTCACAAATCTTTTTGGAATTCAGTTAAATATTAGTGGTGTGAAATAAAACAATGTGATGCTTATAGGTGTTACAGGTGCATAAATGCTGAAAAAAGTCTTTTTAGCCCATTGGTAGTAGTTGCTAGGAAACATGACGACATGGTAACATCTGATATAGATAAGAACCTTCAGGGGCCTAAGATTTACTGGCATGGTGTACCTGCAGTGTTATGGCAGACAGGTTTAATACTTTTTTACCACAGTGATTCTAATTGGTTTGGTGCTTTTTGAGAATCTGGGAAGTATATCTCAAGATGTGGACTCATCTGTCATCTGTCAAAAAGAAATTAGAGATATTTAGACATAACTAGATAAAGGCATAAACAAGGTCTCAGAGTAGAGTGCAATTTAAGATGGATGTTTTTTTTTTGTTTTGTTTTTTCCCCCACTCAGAATTTTGTAATTTCAACAAAAAAACCACAAACACTCACAAAAAACACTTTCTGCAGAGAACATGCGGAGCTGCTTAAAATTATATGGAAATTACAAGATTTTATAAATGCATTCACTCGGGCAAGGCAGGAATTGAATAAACACTAAACAATACAGTGGGGCATTGGCTTTCAGAGAAAGCAAGAAAGAAATTAGCTACATCACTTTAGAACTGGGAATATTTTCTGATTGTCACATTACTGTAAGCAACACTTTGCCACAACTCTATGTCATTTATTAGCAAAGATACACACTATAAACTACACAAATATACACGATTTCTTGACACTCACCTAGCATCTTTCACGGCAATATAGTTAGTCAGAGAAGGAGCCCAGTTCTCACTTTGTGATTGTTGAAATAGCATAATATAACACAAGCAGTATGATATTCAGCCTCCTCGAGCTCCAATGATTGTACATGAAACTAGCAATTTTGCTGCATTTCAGATTCTCCATGTCTGTCAAAAGCTGGGTCATTGATTGGCCTGACAGGAAGTGCCAGTTTATAGAGTGCTGCTCTGAGTGCTATGCTGCTGTAGAGAACATGACAGGTTGATCGTTTATAAAAATTAACGTAG